GGGTGAATACATCTCATATTACTGATTTACTGGTAGTCACGAAAACAATACTTAATTCGAAAAATATGTAATTTGTATTGGAACTTTGTAAGCCCAGGCTGCTTAAGGTGATTTAAGGACTGAGATTTTAGTTTTAATTTTTACACAATAAAATGAGTAGACCTCTGGATAATAGTGAAGTTCACTTACCACTTTAAAAGGCCAGATTGTCCAGGGTGGACTTCAATTTCGACTTCGCACCCATCAGGATTCGCTACCAGATCGTCAGCATCTTAGCTATGCTACCTCTCTACTCCACTCCACTGCCACAAGTACCAGTAGGTCAAAAGATAGGAGCCACTTTCAAGGCAGACCGGGCCTCTCCAAACTTACATGTGATATATGTGCAGAGATCTTAGGTGGCTTAAAATGATTTAAGCACTAATTACAGAATTACCGATAGTCTCACAAACTACTTATTATAAAAAACAAGTAGCGTCGTCAATTGCAATTTGAAATACATGTTTATTTATTCGAAAATATCACTAGGAAATCTGGCTCGCCTCGAATGCCTCAGCAGTTGCAGTTTTGATAATATCGCAAAGATTCTTTTGACCCAGCATCGAAGCTCGTAGGATGCGCTGAGTAAACCTAGGGCTTTTCGAGGCTATCATTATGTCTTGAGAAAAAGTTATCACTATTCTGGAAAATTACTTAAATCGAATTTATTTTTATTTGTACAGGATAATGCATATGCGTTTTAGTTGCAATTGTCGTCAGTCATATTGGCGAATCATTTGTAAATGAAATGTATATATGTATTTTAAGAAAAATTTAATGTGGTTATTATGCATTAAGTGTGCAAACAAGGCGTTTGGGCTCGTAAATAGAACGAATCGTCACGTAAAGCCTTCGGTGGGTTTTTTATATGTATTTTTCTCTCTCCAAATTATTATTTACTTTTATGATATCTTGAGACTATCGATGCTGGAAGAAATCCACTTCCATTGAGCAGAACACTCCTAATCAACCTTCTCTGCTGACTAAAAAGGGACCATCTCGATTCGATACCTACTCCGTTACTACCTATTCTAAGTTTTGCTATCATAAAAATAGTGAAATACAAGCTAGTTGGAAGCAGTAGCAGTAGGCATTTTGTAGGGAAGACAAACCATATTTATTATCTTTATATCGTCGTACATAATAAGTTGCGCAGTTTGCTCTAAATCATCCACATTCTATATGCGGACAACAACGAGAGTGTTTGTTTGAACTCATTCTATTTCGGTTCGGGTCACATGATATTCAACGAACACTGGTTGCAGGCCGACATCCTCTTCGCCCTTAATGATGATTAACACTTACAAAACTATGCTATGCCATTGTACATCCTCTTCTTGGGTACGCTTGGATATACTTTTGTATAAACAATAGTTCTTATATATACTTGTAAATGAAATATAAAATTCTTCTATAAGATGGATATATGATACAAACTGATACTGGCGTACCTTTCATTTCAAGAGGCGTGTGAAAGGTATTCGTTAGTTGGTCTCACCGAAAGCCTTGGAGTTATCACTAGATTTCTGCGAATAAGTATTTGGCGTACCGCCTCACAACCTTGGAGAATGCATGCTTAACTTTCGTCCATCATGTGGTGAATATGATGAAAGCACACGCTCTGATCTACCAAAACATAGAAGCAGTAAAATAATTTTGTACTGTACTGATTAATTTGAAATGAGAGGCGGTACGCGGAGGACTTGTTCACACAAATTTACAGTCACAACTCAAAGGCAATTCTCCTTCGGCTTCCGGTGAAGTCAACTTCCACTTGCCCCTTCAAGCTAAATAAAAGGTATGTCAACACTGCTCTACTTCGGGATTCTTCGTAATCCAGCTTTCCTTATATCATTCAAACTATTGTCTTACTTGAAGTTAGTATTGCTGTCCAGGCATAATTTACTAAATATTTGTTTAGTCATCGAAGCAGAGTTTCTCCAATCCTACTCCACTGATATTTACTTGTCCACATTTTTATGGGCAGACCTCATGATGCCAGCTAATTCTGCTCAGCCTTTTCGTCCTACAGTTATCTTCATCCAAGTTATACTATAGCTTCCACCCGACCTGAGCCTCAGTAATACAATAAAAAGGGACTATAACCCAGGTCGAATGTATAAAGTCTTGGTACGTCACCGCGTGTTCAGATGGATTAAACGGCAGGCGTGAATGGCAATTGACGCCAGACATTTTTCATGACACATTTTTATGGTAGAATAGTCGATTAATCAAAATTGTATTTTTTCTTAATATTGAAAATTTAATTTTTATTTAGTTTAGTTTAGTTAAATTAATGAATTAATTAATTATTTAATCTGTTAGTTAGCATTTAGCACTTTATATGCTGCGCCAATTTGCATTGTCCAGACACCCATTAACATACAGGAAATATCCATTTTATCTGATTCCCTTTATATGGGCGTATAAAAACCTTTACAAAGGTGAACTAGTAAAATGACATCTTTTTTGTTTTATAAGTAGGATTTTGAGACTATGAGTAGATCATTTATATAAGATATATTGACCATGTTTCGTTAAGGTGATGAAAGACTTGTACTTGAATTTTCCCACAGAACCTTGCCTGAGAAGGAAAGCTACGTGAAATTCAATGGAAACGTAATACATACTCAAATTATTGTGGGAAAAGTTAACTGCCTGTTCCTCATTACCTTAACAAAATAGGATGAATACATTTACATCTTCTATTAACTACTTTTAACAGTCGGTAATGACCATCCTGTCACATTAGACCAGAAAACGGAGACAATGTACTCAATTTGCTTCATTCACGTGCATTTTTCAAGCAAAAAGTAGCCGATTTTACTCATGCCTAATTTGGTTGTAGTAATGCCGTCATTTATAGTCACGAACGCAAGTTAGCCTCATTGCCTATTCTACTATAGATTTGATTAGAGGAAGATCTGGCTTGCCATGAAAGTCACATCTTCACTGCGACTTACTTGCATCTGTTGCTACCTGGTGACTTGGTAAATTCTTGCTAATTGATGCGCATGACCTAGTTTCTGATCTATTGGTCGCCGTCG